AGATGCGTTCCACTTGCTTAAAGCTTGGGACAAGGAAATAACTGACCGACTTGTCTGAAAAAAGCATGGAGGCACAGGAGATGGGACAGAAAAATCAGCCACATCCAACGACTGATGCATCTTGAGATCCAACCACATGTATCAGGATAAATCAATCTGCAGGAAGGAAAAAAAAAAAAAAAAAAAAAACAGAAAAAGCAGCCAATGGCCCCATTTTCGACTCCGTTTTAGAGCAATATGCACTCCCCTGCTCCAGGATGGTACCTGGCTATTGCTAATCCCACCACCAAGCAGCTCATGGCAGGTCTGGGGCTGTTGGCGCTGCTGTTTTGGGTACAGAAATCCCATGCCCTGGTGGAGACCTGGGTTGGGTTTGGGAGACTTGGCGCTTTCTTTGTGATGGTGACAAAGGAAAAACCAGCGCTCAGCAAGGAGGTGCATTAGCATGACAGATGGCTCGCCAAGAAAGAAAAACTTATCTCGGGGTTTTGCAATTTGTGCTGACTGAGTTGGAGAAAGGAACTATTGCAATTAGCGTTTCCACGGAGTAATTGAGGACCATTTGGAGCATCAACCCAATTTGCTGCCATTGTTCAGCGGTCCTTGTTCAGGATGATTTTTCTCAATTATCCTCCAGTCACAAGTCTGAGGATGCAGGAAACGCTCCTGCTCTTCCTCCATCAGCATCCCCAGACGCGTCTCCCTTTCCCAAAGCCTGCATCCCGCCAGCAAAAAGGCGCTACTTTTGCATATCTGCCCGTTGAACAAAGCCCATCGTGGAGACAGCGTTGAGATCCATCCATAATTCCGAGGCACCGGAATTTGAAGCCCCGCAGCCGCCGTTTCGCATTGCTTTGCAACAGGCCTAATGCAAAACCAGCCCGGGAGGGACATTCCCTCCCTCATCCATGATCCTTGGGGACAAAATGCTGTCACCACAGGTGCTTGAAGCCGTGGTGCCGGCTTCATCCTCCCATCCGCTGCGGCCCGGGAATCACTGAGAGGCAAATGCCGCCTCCTCAGAGCCTCCTTCATGGCGGCCGGGCGCGGGAGGGGGCTCGGGAAGCAGATCCCACGGGAAAGCCGGCCCTGCCCGGCTGCCAGGCTGGCAGGGAAGCGCCCACGGAGGCGAGTTATAGCCTCGCAAGGACGGAAGGTGGCGGGCGAGCTCGCGGCGCCGGGCGGGCGGCCGCGCTCCGGAGGCGCCGGCATGGCGGGGCCTGCGCGGCCGCCAAGGCCCGCGGCCGCCCGTCCCTTCTCCGCTCCGTGCTTGGCTTCGCCCAAGCTGCTCCTGACCTCTGGAGAATATCTCCACAAGGATCCCCACACGTCCTTGTTGTAGCTGCGGGGGGAGCTGCCTCGGTTCTTGCAGCACCTCTGCAAAAATGCGGTTTTGAGTGTGGTGGTTGTTGTTTTGGTTTTATTTTTTAATGGCTCTGTTGGGTTTTGTCCCCTTTAAATGGCACCAGGATGAGCGGGGATATAAAGCACCTGTGAAGGGATTTTGGGAGGCTGGTAGCGCCTGGCTGTGCGGTGTGGGGGTTGCTGGGGTAAGTGGTCCCTGTGCTGCTCCTTTTCCACAGGAATTTCACCCAAAATGTGTCATCTTGTTCTGAAAATCTTCTCTCAGCGAAGCTGTCTCAGCTCTGTTCTTGTGGTGCAAGTACCAAGGAGCCCTGGGATTTGGGGTCTATGTGGTTAACTTGATCTTCTTCCCTAGGGGAAAAGAAAGAAGCAAGTAAATAAGTAAAGCAGGAACGATCTGGGCTGGTGAGGTTTGGGTAGAGCATCTATCATGGTGTGCATGGGCCTGGTGGAGAATCAGGGGAATATTGGTGAAGAAAAGTGTAAATTGCCGCTGTTTGCTGATCACCCAGGCTGTGCAGGTGAGGGTGTCCCGAGAAATTCCCCAGCTCTGGTTAGCTCACCCAGAGCCAAAGCAGGGTGTAAGGAGGGTGGATCCTCTGCATGATTCTTTGCAAATAAGGAAGGTTCTTGGCTGTGGCTCATCTCCTACTCAGGTGTGTAGGACCGGGGTAAAATGAGCTGTATTGCCTTAATGGTTCTTTACAGACTCAAAAATGTTATGTAACAAGGGGAATAGAATTGCTGATTAGCAACACTTCTTTAATAGACTTTATAATGTATACTTTAAAATAGGAGAATAAAAAAAAAAAAAAAAGCAAGAGACCTGGGTTGCAGAGTTTTCTTCTCAAGCTGTCTAGATTTGCTATCAGGAGCTGCTTCAAAGCCATTTTTCTTTTCATATGCTTGTCTGGTGTGTCTAAGTGAGCATGATTACTTTTTCCCAAAATGAATAGGTAATTTTGCCTTATAAGTAGCACACCAGGTTGTTTTGTCTTTGACACTATTGGGCTGGCTCTCAGGATGACTTAGTGTAGCGCATGTTCATTTTTTAATGAAACTTGTTCTTTCTTCTACCTAAATTTGTTTGAGTAACATTTTTTTTTTTCCGTAGTGCATTCAAACACATCTGAAATATTAATGAGGCAAGCAATGTCCCATTTCAGTTGAAGTTTGCAATAATATCTCAGGAACCCTTCATGGGTTTCTGTGTTTTGGTGAAGAAAATGGAGAAAATGTCTGGTTTTTCTTCCCTTTGGACAGATATTCCAATTGTGTTTTGGTGTGCAGTAGTCATCAGCTAAGCAATGGCTGGTTGAACCCAGTGCAGCAGCTTTCAGGAAAAGGGGTGCAGAAGCACCTGATGCAAGACTGTTTTTCTGGCTGTATGCGTGCTTCCAGACCAATATCCAAGGATAGGAAAATGGGATTGACTCCTTTAGTGCAATGCTTTTACAGCCCCAAATCCTCCAGGATTCCCCACAGGTGCTTGCCAGCCCCAGCCTTTCCCATGCTGTTCCCAAAGGGCTGCCTGAAAGGAGGATTAACTTGCTGCCCAGAGCAGATATCTGTGGTTTTGCAGGCAGTTTTGGCAGGGCCTTGGCTAATGTCATGGTTTTCCTCGAGTCCCAGCACTCAACAAAGCTGCGCTCCAGGAATCGCAGCCTCTTTTATGACCCTCGAGCAGAAAAGAGGTTTTGAAAATACGAAGAGGCACAGAGGCCTAGGAGTGAATCTGCTAGAGAGCTTTGTATCACCTACAAACCCATTTTCCTTAGATCACTGGCTTCTTTCAGCTCTGTCAGCCTGCTCTGTACTTCGACTTTATTCAGACCTTACACTAAAAGATGCCTGTCCTAGATGCGTGGCTGTGAACTTGGAGCAAAACACCATCTCAGCAAAGCTCCCGCTTGTTCTTTATTCAGCCCTTGTTAGAGCAAAGCTCCTGGTAGAAATGAGCCCTTTTCCATTCGCTGCAGCAGAAAGATGCAGGGAAGAGACGTGGCAGCCCAAGGAGCAGCTAAGGCCATAGTGTCTGTGGCTGCACTGAGTTGCCTCCAGAAGGCAGAATATAAGATGAAGCTCCTCGCCACGTTTACATATTCTGCTTCTTGCAGCATAATTTGTCCTAGTTTTTAAACACTGAATGACTTCCGAGGCATTTCATTATATGCTGCAAGTTTTGTCAAGTGCATTCTGTTTGTTTTGCTGGAGGCTGCTAACCATAGTCTATTTTTTTCTGAATCTTTTGTGCTAACAGATATTTTAGCCAGATAATAGATATCTATGCCACTAAAGAGAATACAGTCTGTAATAAAATGCATTTTAGTGCCACGTTCCTGGAAACGGGTTCTTGTGGAAGGGTTGTCTGCATAGCTCTGCAATGTGAAAACCATCTCCAGTGATGATTTTGGATGCAAGCATGGACAATCTGAGGGTAACATGGAGGATTTCAGATTTCTTAACCAAAAGTTCAGCAGTTGGTTCTGATTTTGGCCCCTCTGCTAGATGAACACCTGCTGTGCAACATGGCTTTGCTCTGACTTTTCTCCTTACGTAGATGGAGTAGATCTCCATCACTGACCATGCCACATGGGGCATATTTGCCAAAACCTGAACTGCATCCCAATGCAATGCAACACTTGCCTTGGTTTATATGTATTGCCGTGATACCTACACATTCTGTGGATTTTAATAGACGTTTCTTTTTCTAAGCAAGTTTAATTCCATTACTAAATAATGCATTTGGCTTCCAACCTGGTTTGTCCTAATTATTCATGCGCCGAATAGTTTTTAAACCTTGTTTGGGAGCGCTATTGTTTATTGTCTTATGAAGAGCACCTAATGTGAGCTTTTTTTGGTTTTCTTTTCTTCTTTTTTCTTTAGGAGTTGTAATTGCTTTCCAATGAAAGCAAACAGACAACGCAATTTTTTGCTAAACTAATTATCAGAGCGGAAGATGCTAATGTGTCTTGCCAACTGTGTCTCGTGTCTCCTCGGTTAACATGTAGGATGGTCACGGCTGCTCAGAAAGACTCTCCATCTCTGCTGGCAGAAAACAGAGGCTAAATGAAGCTTACCTCTTCTTTATTTTGCAGTCTCATTAATGGTTCATGCGGTTCTGCCTCTGCCTGCACTTACAGTGTTAATGTTATTTTTTTCTGCAGAGGGTTTCAGGAACACCAGGCATTAATTTACCTGGATTCACAAGGCATCTGACTTCTGAGTTTCCTGCTTGTAATGGTCCAGGGTACTTGCTCTGCAAAATTAAACCTCTTTGGCTGCCTCAGAATTGGAGGTACCCGAAACTAATGACCACCAAGAAACGACAGCTCAAAAAAAGCTGCTACTGAAATGGCTGTTCCAGAATATATTTGTACCCTGAGACCATTCCAATATGTGATCCTGACCATTTCTATAGTGTGCTGGGCGTCTAAGAAAGAACATGGTCTTACTTTGGACTGCAGTATGTCAGAAGGGTGAGGCTTTAAATAGTGACTAAGCACATCAAGAGTCTACAGACATCCTGCTTCTAAGACTGCAAGGCCTGCCAGACACCCTAGGTGCTAAGAAAAATGCCTTTTTTTTTTTTTTTTTCCCCCTTCAGAGGAAGAAAACACAAGCATGACAGAAGGATGGAGTTTCATCTTGAGCAAAAGCAGCGCGTGATTTTCTAGCTCTCCTCATGACAGACTCAATTTGAAAACAGAATTGCATCTTTGCAAAGGGCTGAGATTTGTCTGTAAGTGAATACCATTGTTCCTCAAAACAAATAAATAAAATACAATTACCTCTGACTGTTACCCAAGCTAATGTGTGTAGCTGGCACTGGGGAGTAAAGTGAGTGTAGGACACGGGGCTAAAATCATTAATTGATAATGGGATTTATGTATTTGTCAACGAGGCGATCTGAGCAGCGAGCTGAATAAAAAAGAATGCAAGCTGCAGCAAAACAATGCATAAAAATCACTTCCATTTGTCTAACAGCCTGTCGCTACCAGAAAGTGTGGCTCAAAGGCAGCCAGCACAAGGAGGGAGCAGTTTCAGTCCAAGGCATCGAACCTGCATCGCATCAGGGTTCACTCCTGGATCGGGGTATGTTCTGCCACATCGTGTTACATCAAGTGCCATGTGAAATGATGGAAGCTAATGCAGAGTGAGTGTTGGAAATGGGAAGTAAAACAACAACCTCGTCGTTTCCTTATTCATTAGTCACTGTGGGTTTGGGGGTTATTTGGGAACAGAGATGATGTTTTAAGTGAGGCAGGGAGCCGAGAGCACCAGGCTGCACTCGGAGAAGAGCTCCGTAAATTGCCTGTGGGATTTGATGCTGCTCTGCTGATCTCCTGCCTCCAGAACAAAAAGCTTTTGGGTAGGTCTTTGGGGTTTACCTTTTGTTTTCATCATTAGCGAAGCCTTCCCTTTCCGCACTATTTCCTGTAGTCTTGCATCCTGTTCTGGCCACGTTTTCCCCATCCTCAGCTGCAGCTGTTGGTTTTGTGCCCGTAGGGTGAACCTGTGGAGTGAGGCTCCCTGGTTTTGGTGGTGGAGGCCGTGACGTGTTGCTGCTCCCCTGGGAATGCTGCTGGAGAGCTGCACGTGTCACCCTTGGCAGCCTCAACTGCTCGCCCCAAAGGGCGCTGGTGGCTAAGGGTGTTTTCTGCTAACCTGAAAACCAGGCTTGGCCCGGTAAGAAGGATGGGAGAAGAAGCAGGGGAAGAACTGAGGGTGCAGCGGAGACAAAATGCCAGTTAAAAAACAAGCATTATTCAACTATGAAAGAATTCGAATTTCAGCTAAGTAATAATTTTCATTTCTTTGAGTTGGAAAATAAATTGGGGTGGGAGGGGAAGTGAATGAAACCATCAGAGTTTCTTTGAAAAACTTTAATGGAAAATGCTTCTTTTCCTTCCCAGCCAACCTCCCTGCTGAAAAAACCCACTCTTCACTTAAAGTGCAGTAAAAATAACAGGAACAATTGCCTTCTGTCAAATGAAAATATTAGGTGTATGGATAAGCTTTTGAGTGTTGTTCCTTATCTCTGGTCATGTGCAGGTCTTGAGGAGGGCCATGCAGCCCCTTTCCCGACGGGAACCGGCTCCGTGGCTTTCCGTTGGCATTTGCAGCACGGAGCGGAAGCGCCGGCCGCTTGTGATGCTGAAGTTGGGGTTATTAATCACGTTCTGGGTGCAGAACGTCCTGGCTGTGCTCGCGTGTCGGAGGAGTAGCCTCCAGGATTAATTGGTATTGACAAATTCACTTAGCAACTTGCTTAGCAACCACGCGCCGCCTGCCACCGATTCCTGGGGTTGTAGCCTCCTCGTGTGAAGCCTAAAAGACCAGCCCTGCATTGGGGTACACGGGGTGTGAACAGAGGTGCCTTTGAGCCAGTTTGTGCCCTGTTCCCTCTGGAAAACAGTGGAGATCCAGCCCGGCTGGCTCGGCTTTTGGGGTGCTGTGTATTACACCTGAACCCATCCCTGCCCGTTAAATTGGAGCTTTGGATGGCAGTCCCAGAAGTTGTTATCCATGTGCTGATGGTGCCCGTGAGGACTCACGCTGGGGATAACCACATCTTTTTTCATTCTGATAATAATTAAGCTAATTTACTAATGGGGGTCGTCGTTTCCTTAAGTGTTGCGTTGATATGCTCCAGCACAGCTATGAGGTATGTGCCTGATGCAAATATTACCGAGTGAAATGCTAGCCTGCCTGTTGAGATCAGACTCTATTAGCAATAATTCCCCTCAGCCTTTAATTCTCCCCATCTATGGGATAAGTTTCCATAGAAATTATCCTTCAAAATTTCTAAATCAGAGCTGTGTGTGCTCTGGTGTATGCAAAATACAACCATACCCACCAAGTGGAGGAGAGCACTGCTGGCGTATATTGCAGCCAAAAACCACGGCCATATGCTCATCAAATACAGTGACTTTATCAGATCTTCTGGATAAAAGGGACTGAACTTTGCATGTGTGGATAGCTGAAACAAGCCTTTCTCCCGTGAATATAATGGGCCTGGTCAGAGTAATGACTGTTGAACAGGTTTAACAGTTATTAATTGAATATGAAAAGAAAAATCTTTAAATAGATTCACAGCATTAACTGAACGCAACCACCACTCCTAGCTGTTGTCAGATTAATTTCTGAGCTCTTGATATTTCTGAGACAATAGTGTCTTAATTCTTCTGGTAGCACTCTTTTAAAAAATAACCAACAATCGTGTCTATTTGACAAAATAAAGATAAATCTTTATTTCCAAACTAAAGGATGACAGTCCCTTCTTCAAAAGAGAGGAAAAGGTTGCTAACCATTTTGCTTTTTGCAGCAGGAAAATTTTCAGGCGTGGGACTAGCAAAACAAAGAATTACTTGCTGTAGGTAAAGGGTTTTTTCTTTCACATCTAACCGTTGCACTCTAATGGAAAGGTCAGGTGTGTCAGAGCTGGTTAAGCTTTGAAGAAGACAGATGTGTGTAAGCAGGAAGAACATAAAGGGGAATGGAATAGCTTAAAGGAATAAGCAGAAAGAGCTGGGCTTTAAATTTCGTTCTGCTATTGAAGGTATTGCTAGCTCTCTCCCCCACTGAGGGAAAAGCTTCTTAAAAACTGCAGGGAGAAAAAAATGAAATATTTTAATATATTTTCGGCTATCTCAACTGTTGCAATCGCAACACTGCTAATCGAGCTTTTAGCAAAGAGCTAAAATCTTCTTTCCCTCTAGTCCCCTTCCCTCCAGGGAAGCAAGATGCTGTTTTTCCAGTGCTTGGTTGGGATTGATCCTGACAGGAATGCCGGATGTTCTCCTGACGTGGAGCAGGAGCTGGCCTGTGCCCAACCAGAGGATGCAGGAGGGATTTCCATGGGCAACCAATGCAGAAGTAGCTCCTCAGCCTGGATTTGCTCTCCTGTCATTCTCAGCATGGCATTTTCTATATAATATGAAGCTATTTTTGTTTAGGAGTTTAGTAGCCCACACCTCCTATCTTTCACCACCTGCTTACCCAAGGTAGAGGGGACCCATTGGGTCCTATAGCTGCAACCTGCTCCTGATGGCACAGTAAGTGCTGTAATATGCATGCTGTATGTATGTACTCCATGCAGTGCTTTAGTGCCCTTTAATACATATACACCTTGGGGGAATGACATTGGACTCCTTGCTGTTACCAAGAACCTGAGGTCTACCTAGGCATTGGTGTTGGTGCTGCCGATGGTCCCCGGCGCTTCCCAGCTCCATACGGCTGCAAAAACAAAGTGCTGTAAATAAAGCAGCGTGGTTTGCTTAAACAACGAGGAATTCCACTCCAGCCAGTTTATTTCCAATTGCGATGGCTTCTGGCACCTTCCTTTGCAAGCCTGCAGCTCCAAGCGTATGGAGGTGTCTTGCATCAGCCAATACTCATTAAATAATCCTGCCCACCCAGGCTGCCCTGTTTGGTTTGTCTGCCTTTACGAGGCTCCGTGAGGGAATGATTTTGGAGATTGAAAAGCTCGTGTATCTTCTCATTACCCCTCGAATGTGCCCTCTGAGAGGAGATTTGAATTTCTGATCCATTGCGTGTAATCTTCGGCATGCCATATTTGCTGCTACTATTTATTTTCCATTTTAACACTTGTAAGACTGGAGCACTCCTCTTTATGGAAATGTTAGCAGCATCACAGTTATGGGTAAAAAAGCCAACATCTGGCAGCTTTTTCGGTTGAAATACTGTGCTTTTTTTGGTTTGTTTGTTTTGTTTTTTTGCTACCTAGAAACTATTGTCTTAATATTGGTCTGATTGGGAAAATTTCCCATGGAAAATGTGAATTCTGGTGAAAAGATAAACATTGCTTTACTATGATCTGGTAAGGTTCACCTAAATAATGACAGAAATGGAATATCGAATTCATATTTTGGGTTTCCAAGTTTCTCTAAGAAAATGCACAAATTTCAAGGAAAGTGGCTGCTTCCTGCCAAAACAAAATCACCCAGCTGAAACATGGTATTCTCTCTTAAAATCTTTTTTTAATGTGACAATTTGAATGAGTCTAACTGTGATGTATGACAGTAGATGTTGACTTTGTAATGGGTTTTTGCTATTAAAAAGGGATTATTTACACTCTCAACTGGGATTGCTATTGTTATTTTCTCATTTCACTAAGTAAGTTATAATAGAATTAGTCACACAATACTACTGCTGTGTAGAGCTTAGAGGAAAGCAAGTCACTTCTGGCTTTCCTGATTTTTCAGCCTCATTTTTATGGTTTCCTCATAGATAAGTTTAAAAAAAAATCTGGTTGGATCAACATGAATGTGATAAACCTAAAACAGTATCTAGAGATTTAGCTAATGTGTATATTTACTGGGTATCTCATAAAATAAGCAGCACTTTAATTGAGATAATTCTTTAATTGATTCTCATGAGAGGAAGATTTTCCCCCCTATTGGTAAAATTAAACACAATAAAAATACATCTATTGGTTTCCAATCTATTGGTTTTCCAGTATTGGAATACCAATAGATATATTCCAGTATTGGAAGCCAATAAGTGTATTCTATCCCTTCTTACCATAGAAGGGAAAATGCTCAGAAAATGGTGGCGGTTTTTAAATTGTAGTGACAGTAGTTATCTAATAACTCAAACGAGGAAGACTTTAGCAATGGGCAGGCTTTTCTCCTCTGTGTTTAGATGTTTTTCCAAGGCTTTTCACAGCTCCAATTTGTTGCCTTTCTCCAAGAGGGCAGTTTTTCGAGCCTTTTGCTGCCAGACAGTTGTTCTCCTTTGCTGGACGCTCTTCTGAAGCCCTGGAGAACGTGGCTGTGTCAACACAGCTGTGACTGCCACTGGGCACCTCTGCCTTGACCATGCAGGAACAGGACACTGCAGCGGGGTCTCTGGCGGTAGGAAACTCTTTTCACTTCAGTAGCAGGTTGTGTTTGGAGCTGCTGCAACCACATGTGTGAAGTTGTGCTGTTCAGGAGCTTCCTAATTGTGCTAATCTTCTGCATTTTCTTTTGATTCCAGGGGGGCTAACGGAGAAGAGCTCTTTGGTTTGTGATTCTGCGTATTCTTTCAAGGTGTCTCTGATTTGTTTTTGACAGATTCAGGTGCAAACAGCTTGGGGTTTTGCTTTTGTGTTATTTTGATTTGGTTCGTATTTGCAGTGAACTGGCTCCTCAAACTTCCACTTACAAATCTTTCCACATTTAGAGATTGCTGCTGAAGGCCTATGGTAGAGCGGCTTGTCAAAAAGAATTTACTTCCATATCAGCACTTAAATGTACCGTGCAGGTGCTACCCTCTAGAAGATGTGAACGAATATTTACTACGTGGCTTCAACTTGGTTCTGTTCCTCTTGCAGGGCTGCTCAGGGTCCTGCTTAGCATTTGGGAGCCCTTGATGGAGCCCAACAAGAATTTGCCTTGAGCTCTGTGCTACACCAGGGCATAAAGATGTTGGGGGACCTCATTTTGAGTGCTGCTGTTCTTCCTTTCCTTTTCGCTATCGCATGATAGTGACTGCAAATGGGTTCTGCTACTCTGCACATCTGCCAAGAGGGAACAGGGGCATCTTCCATTGAGCAGTATCGCTAGGCATTTATGTCATATTACTTTTCCTAGTCTGGGCTTTGCTGCTTTCCAACAAGGCACCGTTAAGTAAAATAGTGCATTTATGAGGCAGCAAATCAACCATCAGAAGTATCTTTTATTCATCATTATGCTATAAATAAAGATCGATACATTCAAGCAGACAAAACTCAGTTAATGCTGTTTATTCTGTTGGTAAAGGAATAAAATGTGAAAAAAAAAAAAAATCCGTAATTCTGAATCTATGTATAAGGTGAAATTCAGACAAAATCAGAATCAGCTAATATGCTGACTTTTTGCACTGTTTTCCTTGTCCAGGAGACTCATAGTTTAGCTTTTCTGTGTATAATTAAATACACATGCTATGTGTACATTGCATGCACATAGCACCTAAGGGTCAGAAATAGAGAGGTCCTTAAGTGACCAGTTCCCTGTGTAGACTCCATGTCCTTAAGAATGAGGAGCCTGAACAACTTGAGATCTGAGTGTTTTACAAGGGTGCTGACAAGCCCTGTGCCAGGGATGTGCGCCCAGCTCTGGGGCAGGATGTGGCCCCTTCTCAATGGAATAAAGGGCACCACATCCATCTGAGCAGGCAGATAACTAGGTATGGAAACTATACATAATGGCACTAGAGCTGCCATTTGTAGGAAATGGATAACATAGGTCATTTTTAGTCTAGCAAAAACTGTCAAGAGGAATTGGGTTAATTGTATGATCATATTCGGACCAGCTGCATCCCTCTGCTCTCTTGTAGGCTTCTCTTGCTTCCAGAAGGCCCTCGGTTTGTTGCATATCTTTGGTTTAGGACTCTGGGAATGACAGTGTGTTTCAGCTTCTGTTGCTCGCAGTCTCTTTCTATCAACGTACATGAATTTCCATTCTGTTCAGCCCAGTGTTTCAAGCAAAGACAAATTCCTTCTGTGCTAAAGGTTCTCAATAGTTTCATAGGGACCTCTGGTTCTGATGCTGCAAATCTGCCTGCTCCCTGCGAGTCTCCCAAAGAAGAAGAGGTTGCAATAGTGACAAATAACGAAACACTTCTCAATTTAGCTTTTTACTGAAATTAGCTAGGATAGCCAGGATTTAGATTTGAAAGCAGAAGTTGCTAGAAGAGTGGAAGCTTTTAGCCCATCTTAATGAACTCATGCAATAGCAGCATTTTTCAAGTTGCTTTGCTCTTCCAGTTGAAGGCGACAACAACAAAACTTCCACTTGTGCTTTCTTCTGTTTTATCTGTTGTCTCTTCCTTTCCTTGGCACTCACTCCTTCTGAAAAACTAATTGCATTGAATACAAAGAAGAGTAATGGCATGAGAAACCTTTGATTGAGAGGTTCAAAGCCTCTGCACTGGAATGATTTTGGTTCTGTGGAGTTGAGACTATCACAGTAGCACTTTTGATTGTCTGTTTGAATTCTCTCTCCAAAATGAGCCTTCATGGAAAACATGCCTCTTTGGTTCTCTATAACATATGGAACTCTATAACATATGTTACCGAGTTTGGGGCACAATGTGTTTGACTTGGTAAGTCATGTGTACCTCTTCCACTTCCCTTTTCTTCAAAGAAAGCTTTAATTCAGCTCTCTTGAGATTCTAGGAGCTTTGTTTTCTATAGTAGCAATTTATTTTTGCTACTAGTTTTTTAAAATTATTTTATTTCTTGGGATGTGCAATGAGCAAACTTTGAACATGTGATGAAGATGATTCTTGATAACATGGGCATCTTGATATCAGAGACCATAGATCATGATACTGCAGCAGGTCGATCTCAAAGGGTTTCCTGGTCTCTCTTGCAGCAGTAAAAGAGCCGGAGCACAGGGAAGATCAGATAAGCCTTGTTCTTTTGGATGTTTGTTTGGTCATGAACTTCTTGGAAATAATGACTAGCTTTAATTTTGCTTCCCAGTTTCCTTTCTTACTAACCTGAGTGTTTAGAAACTTTTCAAAGTGAGTTGCAGGAGTGTGCTCCCTGAGGAACATCTCGG